TTACACACCAGAAGTGGATGTCATGGCTTTGTAAGCAGCTGGTTGGTTAATTTTAAGTAAAATAAAGGGAAATCTTCAGTAAAGGGGCAGGAAAATTTGATTTTTTTCATAGAGTATAATTTTACATCTGAATTTAGGTGTACTTGAGCTGCATAAAATAATAGTTTGATGTGGAAATCCAGAATTGAAACTTGTACATAGGATTTTTTTTTCATTTGTTGATATTGGTTATTACTATTACCATTTAAAAGCTGAAATTTTATGTGACATTCAGGATGATGATACGTGCCAAAACACCCTTCTATCAGGAACCGTCAAGGCAAATGATAACGTCACAGCCTAAATATTACAATCCAACAAATCAGCCTATAACTACACCTTTATCACCTGCACGTTGACACTGATGTTCATCTGATAGAGTACTGATTGAGAGCATCAATCCATTCTGTACACAGATTGGCACCATCTGGGTTCCTCTGAAAACACCAGATGACTCGCACACTTCCGAGTGTTGATAACAGACAAGTGCTAAAACGAGCCACATTTTATCCTTTGACACATTATGGATTTCATCTGAAGGGCTTACTGACATCTGCTTTCAATGGGGTTGTTCAAAAATACTCTCGTTTTTAATGATTGATGTGAAAACCTCACAGCGCTGTCAGTCAAAGATAAACCCATCCTTACAGAACCAGCCAAATAAAAGCTTAAAGAAAAAAAATGCTCACCTAGTGTATCATAATTCTTATGGCCATAAAATTATTATAATGGTGTAAGCTTTGATTTCTATACCAGGTGAGCTATGGTTCCATTGTCCAAGAAAAGGACATTCATTCGCCTGAGAATTGAAAAAGCTTTAGTTGCAGTAAAACGAGCACCTGCAAATGAGCAATGCAAATTATTGTATTTCATTTTCTTACTTTGGTCCACACTCAGGAAAAATGAAAAGATAACTATAATTTGAACTTCAGATAAAAGGTAATTGCTTTAGAAATAAAGATACAAAATATTTAACAACAAATATTTCAAAAATAAATCCACTAGTTCTAAAGATAAGGCAAACAAATAAATTAATAGGTAAGAAAAAATATTTGTGTTTAATTCAGCTCTAATTGTTTGCCAAAATGAAAATGTTTTTGTTTACTACAGCTCATTAATTTAAGATTTTATTTTTTATTTTTTAGAGGGAGTTTAAGTTTTTCTTTTTGTTCCAAACATGGCATAATGCTTGCTGCTCACTGATAGAGCTACAGTAATTTAAACAGTTTAATCTGCACTTAGGTTTATTACTAGATGGTGAGGTTGAAAAATGATTTAAATCCAATGATTTAAAATCTATATGATTTACATGACCTGAAAAAACCATGAAGCACAATTGTTAAATGCTTAGAATAGAACTTTTTAAATCCACAAGAAAAAGTAAAAATGCACTAAAGCTAACCCAATAAAAAGTAAAGTTTCTCTCTTTGGTAAATATAAATTAAACGAGCAACAAACCCAAGGTTCTTGCACGTGTTTGAGCTTTTTAATGATGTAAACTGTAACTGAATGACATTTATCTTCATAAAACACCACAAACATCTAAAAAAAGAGATGGAAAAAGTCTCAGTCGGATGTAATTTGTAAATATTCCCCTTTAGGTCATGGAAATACACATTGGTCCATGTGCCGAATAGCAGAAAATTACTTTTATTCTCAAAGGGACACTTTGATTCTAACGAAAAAAGGAGGTCAATCAGCATGCTAATACCAAACAAGTCAGATGTGATGGTTATTTAGGTGGACAAGGTGTAGATGTCCACGCATGTTTATTAATAGCTGTGTAAAGGCGTGCGTAATTGTGCACGGGGGGGTATTCAGAGCTCCTGCTGATTCATGATGATGGATGGATTATTACTGTAGCTGGTTTATATTGTTTAGTGTCAAAGAGAGGCACTAAGGAACTGTGTAACTCCAGTTCCAGATCTAACTTCTCTAAGTGGAGGTTGTATCGGGTTAACAGTCATCTTAAGAGGTCTCAGTGGCAGCCACACCTGTGCTGCTTAGATATCTTAGATAATAGATACAAATCCAATCACAAGTTGAAATGACTAGCCAATTTTCACAAATACTGTTTATGTAACAAAGCTGTACACATATTTGTGATGCACAAATGTGTTTCAAAAATGGCATGCAGGCCAGTTAGACTCAGCACTCCTTTACAGGTAACCTACAATGATAATAATTACGATACTTGTGTTGAGAACAAACTGCACGTAGGCTTGGTGCACAAAGGCTAGCATCTATTTATTTATCTGTCTTATTGTTCTGAAATGTTCTAAACATTTACTATAGCCTGCTTCTCCTGTTTGTGTTGATAGTTTTTCCTAATGGAAACATAGGGCATATTTAAGTTTGACAGTTGTTCTCATTCCTGGTAAAGAAACTTTTGGACCTCAAACTAACTAAAAAAAAAACAGAAAAAAAAAAAAAAAACAGAGCCAGAGACTTAGCCGATTTTTTTAGTGAGTCACTAATGTCATTCAATAAGTTGTTGGTTGGCTGTAATAAGTCTCTCTGGGACAACCTGAGAGCATCGTTGTCATGGTTACTGGGACATGCAGTGGGAGCCTTTCAGCTATTTATATTACCTATTAATTTGTAGGCGGACACTGGGCGTTCCAACCAGCTGTGTTTGAATTAACAAAGATTAGGATAAAGGTGTGCAGTAACATGTACAGGGTTTTATACATCCGACTTGGCTACAAGATTCCGCCCTACTGCCACATTTTGGTACGGAAGTTGTGCATTGTTTTATACATGAGGGCTCTGAAGAAGAATATAGATTCTTTATGGAAGTTTTTTTTTTTTTTTTTCCAGCCACAGCGGATGGTTCATTAAAAAGAAAGTCCTGGTGAAGGTCCTTCACTTAGTTCTGACATCCACCAAGTATATTTTTTTTGTTTTTTTATATTAATTTCTTCTTTTGGGTTGTTGATGTATATTGTATCAAAGTTGTAGGAGGCAATATATTTACATTGGTAATTTTGCTAAAACAAATTTTGGTTTTCACTTTTCTTCATATTACATAAAGAATGGGTTAGGGTTAGATTGATAATTTTTTGGGAAAATCTGGATTTTTGTCATCTAGTATCCCTCTTGGGCTTCAGAGTGACATCACTTTGTACTTAGATGTGCATTAGACCCAGACAAACGTTTTTTCATTTTGTATGCACAGTGTGTATACAAAATTGAATTTCAGTTGCAAACAGCTTAGAACAGTGAAATGAACATTACCATTTAAAAGTGCAGCAGTGGTCAGGATGTAAACAGTAAAGGACAGAAGGAAAATGAGTAATAAAAAAATAATGTTGCAAAAGGGCCTCAATATGGAAGGTTCAGTGTAGTGTAAAAAAAATAAGCTGCAAAATACTGTATAACATTGAGTTATCTTATTTAAAAGGATTATACAAGTTTCTGCCACGTTGGTGGTGCGAAAATATAGTTGCAAGAGTGATGCAGAGTCGAGTTTAGAGTTTAACAGTTCAACAGTCTGATGGCAGTGGGGGAAAAGCTGGTGCAGAACCTGCTGTACCTGCAGCGAATACTGCTAAGCCTATTCCTAGAGGGCAGATGGGAGAAAGGTCCATGGTGGGTGTGTGAGGGGTCACTGATGATGTTATGGGCTCCGAACACGCAGCGCTGGGATAAAATGTCCTTAATGGAGGGAATAGGAGCCCTGATGATCTTCTCTGCTGTCCTCACCACTCTTCTCACCTTCTTCCAGTCTGAGGTGCTGCAGCCTCCACACCACACAGTGAGACAGCTGGTCAGAACGCTCTCTATGGTGCTTCTTTCAGTTGGGGCAGTTGGGCTCTCCTCTTCCTCCGCAGGAAGTACAAGCACTTATGTGCCCTTTTGACCAGAGAGGTGGTGTTTACAATCCAGGTGAGGTTTTCTCTGATGTACATCCCCAACAATTTAGTGCTGCAGACCACCTCCACAGCTGAGCTGCTGAGGAGCAGTGGAGCGTGGTTAGGCCGGTTCTTCCAGAAGTCAACAATGGTCTCCTTTGTTTTCTCCACTGCTCCACTTCCTCTCTCTCGTCCTGATCATTGTCGTCGCTGATGAGGCCCATCACCGTAGTGTTGTCTGCAAACCTCCCGATGTGATTGGTGGTGAACCTGGGGACCCAGTCGTGTGTCATCAGAGTGAACAGGAGGGGGCTCAGGGGTTGGGGTGAGTGAGTTGTACTCTGTAATCGCCTGTATGCCTTGCTACATGCTCCTGGTGTTGCTGGCATCGTGGAAACTATCCTGGGTTTTCTGACCATGGCTCTGACCTTATGGCATGGTTAAAGTTGGCTCTCGCTGTCCTCTTTTACTCTTTGTCATCAGACTATAAGGGTATTATGATAAAATTGGTCTCTTTGTAATACAAGATGCAATTAGTGTGTTATATTTAATTGATTTTGGAAACATTATTTTAAAAGAAAGGCTCAAAGCTTAAATTTACGCTTTAAATTAAGGTCACCGCCCAGGGGGCATGATGGACATCAACGCAATATGTCATTTTTATTATAAAACTTAAGTGAGAAAAATAAGTGATTCACAAGATCTGGTAAGAAAAATAATTAAAAGTCAGATATTCAAGCCATATCGCCCTTCCCCTGGTTCCTCTAAAGGTTTATTGGTGGTCAAATCTACATATCCCCTATTTAATTGTCTATCCAACATGTAAAACATCTATGTACAAGACTTTAACGTTCTCACACAGCAGGTTTAAATTTCTTTGCTTTTATCTTGGAAATTTAAATTTTCACTAAAACCGTATTGCTTTGCTATGTCTTAGAGAAAGCTACCTACCCTTTTCCACTTGATAGAGTGTCAGATATTTTTTTTTTCCTTTTAAAATGATGCCACTGTATGCATATGCAAATAAGATCAAATTTACCCATTTCTGTCATTCAAAGAGTTAAAAACCTTAATTACCTTGAATTATCAAAAACATAACAAATCTACACATTTGCAAAACATTCCTTTATTATAAATAAATCTCCTTTTTGTATAAAAACTGGCATGCTTCAACCATGGCATTAGACAGGTTCACAACCCAAGGCTACAACCCGGTTCGCCAAGACAGCAGGAGGAAACACACTCATCTCATTATGCAAGGGCGATCCAAAGACAACGGTGAGACAAGAATGAAAAAATTGTCACAACCACAAAAATACTTACAAGTAGAGAACAACAACAAACACTTTGAGTCTCATAGATTTTCTCTTACATTTCTCTTTTTAAATATCTTTTAAAATGTAGTTTGTTAAATCTCTTTTTCAGCCCCACCTTTGCCATTTTATATATAATTTCTACACATCTTCAGATATTCTTTAACATTTTTTTAAACGTTTTTAATTTTTTTTGTTTTGCTGTCCATTGTCCTGTGTTATTTTACTTTTTTAAAGATTTTTTTTCTTTCTTTAAACAGGTAAGTTCATGGCAGGACCAATGAGCTGAGAGTAGCAGCAAAGCAGGCACACTGACTGGCTGTTTGAGTGGTCCCACCTCTGTGGTTCTGATGGGTAACAAATACAAAATGTCTCATGCTTGGTTTCCATTGGGCGCTCTGTGCATTCACCGGTTTTCGGCAAAATCAGATGTGATCCCCTCCACCTCCTCTCTTACTTGGCTCCCTAGAAGACACGCTCCCTCTCTTCGTAGTCCCTTCAAATGGCATGATTACTGTAGCTGACGTAAGTCGTCTTAGTTGATGAAGCTGTATGAAGACAAGTCAACAGAGAAGTGTAAGAATGCATTTGTAGCAAAATTCAAGTTCAGACAAGGAAACAAAAGAAAAATAAATAAATAATAATATTTGAACTTTTGTTAATCTCACATTGGAGAAGTTTACCTCTTTATTTAACCTATCCCCTTGGGGAGCAGTGGGCTGCCATTGTGCGGGGAGCAACCAGGGGTTAAGGGTCTTGCTCAGAGACCTGGCATACAGCCTGTAGGGATTGAACTGGGTACTTGCAAACTTCTAAGAGCAAAAGCTCACTGCTCTAACCACTTGGTCAACACTCCGCTAATATAGATCACTGGCGATGTTGTCCCATCAGGACACCACCTAAGTTGTTGAGGCTTCAGCATGTGCAATGTTTTGTGTCCCCTCTGTTTTGTCCCTGTTAAACATTAATGTCTCTGCAGCGGCATAGATGCTTAAGCACTTTCCTGTTATGTATCCATTGGGTTTTTGCAACTCATACGGTGCCTTTCAAAAGTATTTATAGCTCTTTAACTTGTTCACGTTGTGTCATCATACAAACAAAGACTAATTAATTTGGAGTTTATGCACTGTAACACTCAACACAAAGTAGTACTCAAAAGTAGGAGGGGCCCAATGTTTTTCAAAACTTTAAATGTAAATCGCTAATTTGTTTTGCATTCAGCTCTTTTTAATCTGATTTAATCCTTACTAATAATAATAAAATACCCCCATCAGCCTGTAAAAGTTATTTGTCTAATGAACAGATAACCTCCTACTGTTAGCTAAAATAAAGAGAGAGTTGATGCTCTGCTTCTGTAGAGAAAGGGAAGCTGTTCTGAATGCATTAATGGATGGTAATTCTGGAAGAAAGCATTTCAGAGGATAATGTAAAATATATAGCGAGAGTTAAAATCAAATAGAGTATTGGTGGCTACACATGAAATTTGGTGTTTAAATGCATCTAGGATGGCTATCTAGAAGGAACTCTGCAAAAACAATTAGCAATGTCAGTCACAGAATACGTGAAGCTGCTGGATTCCTACCCTCAAATCAAAAGGTGTAACATTTGCTGTCAAGACTTATCTGTGAAAATTTACATCATCATTACAGCTCCGTGAAATAACCCCCAAAACATCTGAAACGTACTGATGGGGAAATGACACGATTTAAAACTGGGTTCAAAATTTGAATCACAAGCACTTATTTTTGCCACCATTGCTAGGGGATATTTTATGCTGACAGAATATTGGATTCTTTAGAGCAGGCATCCCCAAACTCGGTCCTCGAGGGCTGCCTTCCTGCAGGTTTTAGAGGTTTCCTTGCTCCAGCACAGCTGATTTTAATTGAAAGCTGATTAACAGGCTTTAGCTCTAACGCAATCATTATAATTAGCTGTGCTAAAGCAGGGAAACCTCTAAAACCTGCAGGACAGCGGCCCTGAAGGACTGAGTTTGGGGATGCCTGCTTTAGAGTGTCCTCTTCGAATTATCTGATTTGTATCAACAATATTAGTGGAAATATTGTATTTTAGTAGCATCTTTTTTCTGACAGGAACTTTGTGGATTTCCAGTGATAACAGGTACAGAAAAAAACAATTCTAACTTTTATTAATGCTTTTCAGTTTTGTTGATTTATACAGACAATTTCAAAATCTGGAAAGGTATCCTGAGCCTCTAAATCAATTCCAGTCCTAGAAGCTAGAGCTACTATCTCACAAGATTTTTCCAACATCAAGTGAATACAGACATTAGCTTCAGTGTTAGAAAAGAGATGAATGTAAAAGCTGAAGCTCTCCAGCAATGTATTGGACACTGGTTCTCATTTCAGGGCCTCAGGGACAGCTGCCCTGCATGTTTAAAGTGTCTTCTTGCTGAGAAACCCCGGACTGATGTGAATGTATAATTAATAGACTTTGGCAGCACTTGATGGCTGCTGAGGAGGTCATGCAATCTTTTGTATCAGGTGTGCTGCAAGAGAGATGCATCTAACGCATGCAGGGTCGCTGTGAAAACTCTTCTGATGAAAGCTAGGGCACACTCACTGATGTATGCTGAGGTCACTGGGTGTTTCAGGTCAGGGAGCCCAGCCTGTGCCCTGGCAGCTTGATCACAGTTCTGCTCTATCTCCTTCTTTTTCCACTGATCCAGAGTGGAGTGTAAGGTCTGCAGAGAGGCTGGACCCTGACTTCACAGGAAGGTACCCTAACATCCAGTCATTTTGCTGATAAGGCTGTCATACTTCACTTTAGGCCTTAATATCTTTTTTTGTCCCAGCATGACAACTCTCTCCACATGAAGTAGCAGTTTTATTAATGCAGATAAAATAAGGACCTAAAATATTCACACAAGTATGAGTGAATTCCCTTTTTTTCTCTGCACATATGGTTTGTTCTTTAGCCTTTGTAACACGCGTAGAGCTGTATCTGTGCACTCATGTCAACTTTTGTTACTTTGAGGATAAACCCAACGGGAAAAGGTATACTGCCTGATATTGGCTGCTTACAGGAAACTCTGCCTCTTGAGACTTAATTGTTTTCTTCCAGGATGTAGCTAGTACCATTAGCAAAACATCTTCAGGCTAATACCTGCTCTCTTACTTGATATCCAACTGATTAGAAATCTCTTCAGCTATAAACAAAAGTTCACTGAAGCCTCACTTTCCTAAACATCAATGATGGAGCCAAGCTCACTGCATAGGAAGTTCAAAATTATATCATTAAACATTTTAGAGAATATGGATGCTACAGTCAAAACACATTCATAACTTAACCATTTTTTGTCTCTTTATGAGAACAGCGACTGCCCTGAAGATGGTTTGTTAAAGTTATTGACCACAACTAGGGAGATAACAGTACTGTATGAAGAGGTGGGGGTTCTTTAAAAGTAGCCAATCACCTCTAGTTAGACAAACAGTACAAACACAGCAAGCTGTCAAGTGTGTATGGCTCTAAAAATCAACTCATTTTGCAATTATTAATTGTTGACTTGAGTATACAGACTGTGATTATGCTAAAATTGTAAAAAAAAAAAAAATTTGAAAAAACCTTTGATTATCCAGAACTCTTTAGTGTTGGAACAATTAATCAAGTAGGAAAGCATTGTTAGTTGCAGCGCTACATGTTTGTGAGATTGGGGTGATGTTGGTACTAAATCTGCATGTGGAGAGTATTTATTATGCAACTGCACTTTGGCTACATTCACACTGCAGGCAAATTAAACACATTTCTGATTTTTTTCACCCCCCAAAGAAATAATGTAATTCATGTCTGATAAAGCGTCTGCTCCACAAAGCCAAAAACTCATTTTTGTGTGAGAAGTTTTTCTCTCTCACCTTTCTCCATTTAATGATGCAAACAAAAATAAAAAATAAAAAGGAAAAAATATTGTTGGCTCCTACTGTTCAACAATTTATAATAACACAGAAATTGTGACATCTATTACTTATCTAAACAGTGCACTGCTGTGTACATAGTCCTTCTGTGCATGTGGGTCGCATTGGAGCCATGGACTGTTTAGACTGGACTCGAATGATGGCTACATTAAAGCAGCAGTCTGAGTAACTATGCAAAGGAAATTAGGAATCGAGCATCAAAACCTGCTGTGTGAATATTGCCGTCGTAGCCCCTTACAACAGAATGTCAGGTTTGATACCTACAGCACTCGCAGCTGTCACTTCTATGCAGTTTAAGCCCTGATCATGCTGCAGAGTAGATGTTGTTTGGGGCTCTAATGAAGTTAACAGCTAGCTTTCTGGGTTTAGATCTACAACAGCTGGCAATGACAATACAGAGGCTCTCTGTGATCATTTAGAGCATCTGATTGCGACACCAGCAGTATCAGCCTCTCCCTGGAGCTTCTGGGAAGCAACTCAATATGTGCTTAAGGGGCCCCCTTTCCTGGCTCAGGGGGGTTGTTGCTTAGCCTCCTCTACAGTTCTAGCAGCCTTTTTTGGTAGCAGCTATCTCGCTTTTTTAAATGTATCTAATAGGAGTCAGGATTTTTTGAGGTTATCAAGGATTGTTCCCTGTGCCAATACCTGTGTATTTAATTTAAACCCTGGTCCTCAATGCACACTGCCCTGCATGTATTAGATGTTTCTCTGTTTCAGATGACTGCAGGGCAGTGCACCTTAAGAACCAGGGACTACCATATACTACGTTATACATATTTAATTGTTTGCATATATTATTTCGGGTGTTTAAAACAGTTTCCACACAATGTTACATTCATAACTATTCCCACTGTTTAACTCAAGTTAAAAAATATATATGTACTACTCTTAAATCACACACAGGCATGTGAAAACCCTCTTTCACTGATACATTCTGATAATGGGGTTAGCTAGTTCAATCCATAATGAGGCTTTTGACATGGACGTGGCAGTACTTCACACCATGCTGTTTAGAAATTGGCACCACGGCAGGAAAGAAAAAGTGAGTCATGAAATTTAATTGAAAACGAACAAAAAACAAATTAATGAAAAAGGTTCAAACACTGAACTCATTTAGGGATAGGTTGTATTTGTTTGTTTGTGCATCACTAATCTACGAGGACAAGTAATTAACAAAATATTTTGAATGCATTAAAAACAGTGGGTGGTTGTGAATAACCGTCCTTACTCTGGAATCTGTTTGCACCCATTATAGGCAGTTATTTTGCCATGGCCTGTCATATGAAAAATATTATTTTACATTTAATAAAAATATTGATGACCCTGTCTGTGAACAGTTTAACGGTTTAACACTGAAATGACTTTAAACTAACAAAACTAATACATGTTTTCTGTATTATCAGAAGGTTACCAACAATTCTGTGTTTAACTACAAGTAGAATGTGTAAATTTTTCCAATCTGTCAATTGTAATATAGTTCCTTTTTAATGTTTAACCACAATGAAAAAGAATTTAATCCATGAAGTGGTTTTCTTGTGGTTTAGATGTGTAATTATAAAAAAAATTGTGTTCTCTTACTCACTGTTGGTCTCCATGCTCTCACATAGCTCGGTCTTGACTTCTCCATTTGGTCGGTCTCCCTTCTGGGTCAGCTTTCCTGACATGGTTGCCGCAGTAACGATTGCCTGTAAAGATTCAACGAATCTATGATGAACCTAAGAAATAAGTTTTCATTATTTTTCCACCTTGAAAATTGAGTTTTTATCACAAACTTTATATGCCAACACAACATACTGCACAATTGGAGGCTTTTTGAATTTGTAACCAATCCAAATCAAAGAGCTTTTATTCCTTCAACCTAAACGACTGGTTTTCAAAAGACATATTACTCATATCTTTAACAATAAATGAAAGAAATAATCCAATAAGAATTTGTGGCAAGAAAAACAAGTTCACAGACCAATGACTTCTAGTCTGAGTGGGCAAAATTATCTTGTGCTCAAACATTACCTCAAACACTTACAGCTGCAAAAGGTGTTTCTGGGCAACTGAATAGAAATACACTTTTTGCATGTCTATTAAATCTTAAAATAAGGTTGCCATTAAAGAGGTGTGAATACTTTTGTAGAACACTGTAAATTCAAACCCAGGATTTCCAGTACTGGCCAAGTAATCTTTTTTTCTGCTGCCTCATGTCTGTCTCTCTGACTTCACTAAAACCCCAGTGTGTGGTTCTATGCACTCACAATTGTAATCCCAACACCTGTTTGAAAAGTGAAGCCAATTCATCATTTCAGACAGCCTCATATCATTTTTTGCAGCTTTGTGTCCTCCATTTTGCACACTGTTTTTTTTCTTATTATTCTTGCAAATAAGAGTATACCAGTAATATTCACAATTCGGGCAATTCAATTAGATTTTGATTCACTTCGGTTTTCTGCATATGAGTTTTCCTGTCTGTAATTTAGCAGTAGTTCAGGATGTGAAATTTGAAGCTCAGCTCACCTTGAAGCTGCGTTTTCTTTTGGGGACGTTCTGCTCTGGGTGGAAGAGGATGATGTAGACCTTAGGCATGTAGAGCATCCCCAGAGATACGGAGGCAGAAAGGCTGAGAGAGATTGTCAGGGTGGTAGTTTGGATATACATCTAAGACAAGAAGGATACATACAGAGAGGGAGAAAATGAGAACGATTTATTTCTGAAATACTAAAAAAAAAAAAAAAAAAAAAGAAAACTCAATAACAGGAAGTTGAGGAATGATCTAAAAGAAAGATTGGTTACAGATTTTAAAAAATCCTGAAACTTCTGCATCGAGTCTCACTGACACAAGATGGGCGATAATGACACCAAAATGGTGTTTGTCTCAAAGTGATACTGTACATATCTCCTGCAAAAAGAGACATGATATAGAGCAAGGTAAGATATCATGCATTACAGTTAAGCTCTATATTATTCATAACCCTGGCAGATATATATATCATTAACGTCACCTTTAAATGTTAACATCTATCTTCTGACTGGAAGTAATTTACAACTTTACTTTGGAGGTACCTAGCTAGGCCCAAATGATATTATAAAGGAGCTGTGTGGTGAGATAAAGATGGTGAGGATTCCTTTTATTCTCAAAATCTTTGAGCCCAGTACTGAAGAAAAAATTGTTCAAGTACTAATGGAAACATGGTAAAGAATGACCAAAAATTACAAGATTATATAGCTAAAATAAAAATATCCACAAAGTTCTTTAGAGATAGTCTAATTTTCTGTAAGAAACAGACTTATTGGTCAAACTGCAAAAAATACAGAAGTGCTTAACTTATGTTGCACTAAATGTCCAAATGAGATACACTAGATTAATAATTTTAATAATCTATTCCCAAATACAATACCATATGGCAAGTTTAGTTGAACAGATTGACGTTATCCTTCCAACACACTCCACCAAATTCTCCCATGTGAGATGGGCAACTGACATTTAACATGCACACCCAGAGCCAAAGAGCGAAAGACAGCATTTGGACCATCCAAGCCTCAGGGGAGCCGTATCGACAAAAATATTCCATCTTGAACCTTGCATTGTGCTAGATCTCTTCCACATGAGGCCGGGCCTTGAGATGAAAATCTGAGGCAGAAACTAGAAGACACCCCCACTGTTAAAGTATGAATTGTCGTTGTTGTACCCACAATTTTATGGGTCAAGTAACCAAGTTTGGATAAAGTTTGGATAAAGTTGGACTACAGTACCATGGGACCAGAAAGCAACAGAATATTGTCAACTTTCAGGGCTTGACTTATTGATGAGTGACATATTCATCCCAAACTATACCCTTTCATTTATTTACCTGAGAGTTGAATAAATTCACATTTTCAGACAGTTATTTTAAACTGTGGGCTGCAGAGACTGAAAATCATAGCCTTTTCTGTTAACAAATGTTAATAGATTTATGTACATCTCACTAAATTTACCAGTTTTACTAAATAGAATCTGTTCTGCCAAATAAAAGTGAAAAAAAAACCATAACAAAAACAGAAATTCTTCTGACACACACAATACAATGGACTGAGCACTGCCCACAAGTCCTTGGTGAGTTTCAGAGAGTAGTTTGGAGGAGGACAGATGTAATGATGGGCTTCACCCACAATCCTGACACAGCTGACAAGCTCTCAAGACATGGGGCTTATCAGGCGAGTGCTACCCTCAGTGTATATAATATTGAGGTGGAAGAGTAAAGGACAAGTGTGGTAAAAATGGAAGGTCGCCAGAAGAGAAAAGCAATTGAGAGGTGGCAGGGAATAAGGAAACAAGACACCAAAATTGTTGTTTTGGGACAATCTAAGATAGGAGAAGAAAGTTACTTGTAGAGGCAATGGTAAGGAGAGAAAAGGACAAATGAAATAAAAGTGCACAAAGTTGTGAAATTGCAGTGTTACACAGAGAGACACAAAGAACACAAGGGAATGTCTTAGACTTCACATCTACCTCAGTTATTGAAAATCTTAAAAGCGTAGTTTATAACTATTATATCACAGTGGAGATTTTACTGAGGATCACGTGCTTCTTTAGTTTTTTAAGCCTATCCATGTTCATGGTTTATTCCCTATAGAAATAGGAGAGAGATGTAAAGGAATTATAAAGCCAGAAAACTTTCAGTTTAGCTATTTTTTAACAAGATTTTCCCAGTCATTGTTAGCTAATTACCTGGGTCAGATCTTAAAATGCTTATTGTATCCCAGGATCCTCACTTGCTAAGACTGTAAATGTTCTTTTCACTTTCAGAATAAAAAAAAAAGCCATTTATGTAAATAGAAATTGTTTAATAAACATCCATCTATCTTTTTCTCCAATTCAAGATTTGATTGTTGGGGTAACTCTTCCAGAAAGGTGTAGTTACATAAAGTGTCATTTCAACTGTGACATGAGGGCAATTTGAGACACCTGGACAGAGTCTGTGTTGTCCCAGAACCGAAATTAAGATTCCAGCACTAAATCTGAAGCCATCTGTTCAACAACAGATTTTATTTTCCTCTAAAAACTTGAATTTAAAAAACAAATGAGTGTTTACTTATGCCATCAACGACTCTTTGTTTAAGGTTCTCAAAAAAAATGTCTCTCCTTTATAGTTTTTTTTTTTTATTTCTGAACTAACAGGTTTACTAGTATCTCCCATTTGTTTTCAGTAATTTGTAAATACATTTTATAATTTTAGAACAAGGTAAAGACCATATTGTTTATTAATAAAGAAAACTTCCCCAGCATTAAAAAAGGTTGACCTCCCTTTCATCATAATAACACGTTTTGGGGGTTGACACATTGTTTAATATACATACAAATTTTTTGTGTTTTTTTTTCTTTGAATTAAATCTACTTAGTGCTCACCTAAACGTCAAAATACGAAAGGGTTTTTTTTTTTATTGTTATTTGAATTTATTTAATTTCTCACTTTAATAAACTATAGTGGCCTTAGCCTTAATGTTCCAAACTCAGATTAGTTTCCATTAAAACTAACAAGAGCACAGAGGTTTACAAGAGGGCAGGACCATTTCATTGATGGTCACCGAATGGGAAGAGAACAGAACAAATCCTAAAAGTCTAAGAGTGCTGGCAAAGTCAAGAACTATAAGATTCAGATAAAAGAGAATTCACAATGTAGCAGGAATAAAAACTAAACTCCTGAGACTCTAATGACAGCTTACACTCCTCACATACAAGCTACTAAAGTCTTTTTACAAATAAAATAAAGCAGTAAAATTACCTTGTCAGAATCTGCATTATTACTATTTTCTGACATTTTGTTCACACATTTCCTCAGCAAACTGCTCCAGAAAGAATGGAGGTGATATTCGTATCAGTGAATTGCTGCAAAGGAACAGATGGAGAAAGGAACAGAAAAAAAAACATTTTCACACCCAGAAAGCAGGGTTATTCAGAGCTCAAGAAATAAAAGAAAAGATGCAAAGGACAAATGGAGAATAGAGAATAAAAAGAGGAACCAACAGAAAAATAGCTTAACACTGCAAAGAAAAATATTGTTCTCTAAAAAAGGGGATTTTTATCACCATATGAGCAGAAAGCTAACTCCATTGCATCTAGTCTTTGGCTAAAAGTTATGGCCTCCAACAAATATAAAATGTCATTAAATCTCAATGTGTTTCATTGTTAAATATAGTAGTGGCAGTATTTTGCTTTGGGATGTTTTTCTTGCACTGGGACATGAAAACTATTAGGAAAATATAGGAATATGGATATAATAAACCTAAAGAGGCTGGATGATAGCAGAATGTACAGTATCTATTGCAGGATAACAATCCAAAACATACTGTAAAGAATGACCCACTCAAAATCAAGACATAAATACAATCTAGAGCCTTTAAAAACTGCTGTTTGTGGAGGAAAACGCTACTTGAGCTTTATGTATTCAAGAGCGGAAACTTTAACCTTTAGATGTGCAAAGACAACAGAAACGCTAAGAAAACTTTACAGTAACGGCAATAAGAAAAAACCAAAAAATATAGATTCGTAAATATAAACACACTGCTCTTACTTTTTTATATGGCAACTGTATAATGAAGAAAACATTTTTTTTTTCATACTTTGCAAATCCATATGAATTACACAGACTATGCACGTCACAAGGAAGCCCCCATTGACATAATTTACATCTCCTGTTCATTTAATCATCTTTATGTTTTTGCATCAGTAGTCCCTGTTTAAATATTTTGCAGAGTATATTGAAACAGAATTTAAAAACACTTTTACCTCATTAAGAGGACACTATTAGCTGAACCTTCCTGATTTAAAAAAACCAAGTTTGCCTTTAATGAGAATAGCCACTATAAAGGCTGCTACCTGACAGCAAGCACAGGCAGGTCCAGAAGCTCCCACTTAAAGTATTATTCATTGCTCGAGTCCCCGACATCTTCCACCAATGTACAGTAAGTCCCTATTACTCAGTGTCCGTGTAAGACGGTAATTCATGGGACACACGATTGATTGTGACAGGCAGTTTAATAGTTCGACCACACTTTAATGGGTGCAGAGGGAGCTGTCTTCTCTCATCCGGCATGTACAAGAGCTGAAGCATTACAGCTAATGTAAATAATTAGTCTGACTTGGTATGTGCTCAAAATGTCACTCAAGACTATGGTACAGTATGTTATTAAAGAATAAGATGGAAGCACATTAAGCAATTTTACACTTACGCAAACTTCAGATTCCGAAGGCTTATACATGCATGGAACAACGAGTAAATTTCACTATGTGTCACAAGTAATTCTTTGTGGATATCTGCTTGGCAACACTTCAAACTCAGTGAACAGTATTACTGTTGTAATTTAATTACTTCTCATCAAAGCCCTGCTGTAAGATCAGAGTAGACATATTGTAGAAGGATGTTTTGTGGTTTACCTCAATCATTCCATCCACTCTAACCAGTCTCCCTGTCCCTTCTAAAGAAAAGCATAACTATAGCATGATGATGCCATCCCCATGTTTGATGAGTGTTCGTGGAACATCACTTGTTTTCTCTCCGATAGATTTTTTTTTCCAAAGAAAGCTTATCAGAAATGTATTGTGTAGAAGTTCCAAATACGGTCAAGTATATTAGGAAAAAAGATAAAAATCAAATAAAATCCTGTAATGATTTAAGCAC